TGATACATGGAATTCTGATACTTGTTTACTGGTAGTTACGGTAGTTATGATAGTTATGGTAGCTATGAGAAGATTTGGAGATCTTGTTTTGGGTTTATAAGGGAAGAGAGGGTCGTTAGAAGTTAGGTGAATTTCATTAATGAATATCACGATGTGTATTCTTCTGAGGGTGAGGTAATTTAAAATCCAGCTCGAGTTGGGTCGCTTTGATAAAGAGATCGTGCGATATACTTTTCGAGATTGAAAAAAGCGTGACAGAAAGTTATTAATATTTCCAACTTTCCCAACGAAGACTTAAGATTTTAGATTTAAAAAAAAAAAAAAAAGAAAATCATACATACGTACAACGTATCACGCTCAAAAGAAACATCACGTGTTCGAATGTAAACGCAACCGACCCGCTTGCCAATTTTTCCGCGCATCGAATTTTACACAATGGCGATTTGCTCGATAACAGGGCGAGAGAGGTTTCGAGAGCATATAATTTCTCCGCGACATTATCGTTTCTCCTCTATGTGCATTTACGTCAAGAGACGTGACGTCCCTACCTCTCTCTTCCTTTTTCCCCCTTCCACCCTTCCTCCCCCCTTCACCTTTCGAATTCGTTTTCACTCGACTCGTATTATATCCGTGATTCACGATCCTCCGCGTCGTGAAATCCGTATGATTGATACCCTTGAATCGAAATAATAATTATTATTATTATTATTATTATTAAGCGGGAGCGCATCGATGAAACCGCACCGCTCTTTTTCTGTTTTTGGAAAAGAAGAGAAGAAAAGAAAAGAAAGGAGAGCTCGAATTAAATTTTGTCCCATGTGGGTCGAATGGTCAGCGATAAAAAAAAAAAAAATAAAAGAAGAAAGAAAAAAAATAGAATAGAGCGTAAGAGAGGATAAAAAAAAGAAAAGGAAATAAAACATTCGGTGGAAAAGCACGGTGAAAAAATGTCGAAAAATCGCAACGATATAGTTTCATCGATATTCGTGCGACCAACTTTTCGCGTATTTACGAATTGTTCTTTTTTTTTTTTTTTCCCCTCACTCCATCCTTGCCATTTTTTTC